TATTATTATTATTATTATTATTATTATTATTATTATTATTTATTATTACAGTATTGTCACTTATTATCAATTCGTGACAATATACCTTTATATTATTATTATTATTGTTATTATTATTATTATTATTATTATTATTATAAAGAGTCAAGCATTGCATAACTTTGATACAACAGCAACATAATAATAAATAGTTAACATCAGTTAAACAACAGCAACATAATAATAAATAGTTAACATCAATAATAATAGGTATTGCCAATTATTATTAATTTATGACAATATTCCTTTATATTATTATAGTTATTACCATTGTTATTACTATTATTATTGCTATTGTTATCAAACCCACATTTTTCTCATCCGTTATCCTTATCACCATTATGATTGTCATCATTTATATCATGCTTTTCTTCAAATTAGTAACGCAGTAATTAAAGAAATTATAACAGTTTTTACTTTTCATGTATATACACTAATAATCATGATTTTTTTCTGGTTTTCGTATAAGAGTTATAGTAATTTTAGTTCTTCTTTTTTTTCATATTAATGTTATTATTTGCAGCATATTTTTCCTATATTCATTGTTATTACTTGTGTAAGTAATGTCATTTTTGATAGAAATGTATTGTAGACTATTTTGCTTTCCTTTCAATAAATAAACAGTCAACATTTAGGAATGTAATGTTGCTTAAGAATTAAAACATTTCATGTCATTTATTTTTGTATTTGGAATGTTCAAATCTGTTTTGATTATTAAAATCATTATTATTGTTGCATCCAAGAAAGAGTTGGTTGAGTGGTCCTAAAAATAAGTTTTGATTAAATTTATATCCTGAAATTAGGTGAATTTTAATGGGGATAATTTTATTATTGCTATTATTAATAGATACTATTATTTCGATTATTTATTACTGTATTATTGTCAATTAGTATTAATTTATTTCACTCATTTATCATTGTTTTAGTTAAAGTTAACTGATGAGCATTTACTTAATTGGCTAATTGTAGCTATTAATTACTATATAATTTGAATTTTTAAAGATTAACGAATTATACTTGAAAAATTTTAAACTTTTTAAGAAAAAACAAAAATTTGCTACTTTTTTTTGTAAAATTTTTTTGATTTCATGAATTTTTTAGAATTTTATAATTGTGCTAGAAATATTTACCATTTCTTAATGGTTTTAATTAATAAACAGGTACCATTTAAAGCCACGAATGTCTTGTGATGATAACAACGATTTTTGTGTCATGAGCGATCGATTAGCGATTGAAAATCAAAATTTTTTAAATCGTTTTCAACAACTTGGTGAACTGCGCTTGCGACTTTTTTACACTGCAGAACACGTATTACCCGTGGAATTTTACAAACCGTTACAAATGAATCTCATTAGTTCATTGACATTACAACCATTTTGCGCATCGCCAGCTGGAATTCTCGAATACTTGCCATCAGTAAGATTTTTACAGATTATCATATTTTCAATTAGTAGTGTTAAAAGATTTTGTTTTCAATAAATTATACAAATCATTCGGGTATTACTTGGTGGTATTGATAGAGAAAATATTAAAAAAATGAAAAAATTTCAAAAAGTTTATTTGATTATAAAACAGTTAAAGATTTTTTAATTTCAACCTCAAATTATTATTTATTAATATGTTAAGGAAAAAATTCAAATTGTCAGATATTTTTTAATTTCTAATTAATAAATTTTGTCTGACTATGTTGTGAAGGCTAACTAGAAGTTTTCGATTAATTTGATTTCTTATATTTTCAACAAACTTTGGCATTTATTTTTTGATATTATTTAGTAACATGTTGAATTATATTAAAGCAGTTAAGGAAGAAGTATTTTAAAATTTGTCTAACATTTCATTTTGTCAAGAAAAAAATCCATTTATTTTCCAAATTAAATTAAATTTAAAAGTATTAGTTAAAAAATTGTTTAATAATTGAAGAGAAAAATATACTTTTATATTTTGAATATTTTAGGTAGATATATTAACGATAGCACGACCTCTGATGAAAATTTTTGTACAGGCTGAATTGATAAGGCCATTGCTTAAAGCTCTTTGCTCAGATGATATCCTCAAGTGCCAGTACGTTTATTAAATTTAAAAGTATTTGCATTTTTTTACAATTTTTGAGTAAAAAAAATTATAATATCAAGTAATTCAAAAACTACAGTATTGATTGTAGTTATTCTTGACCTTTTTGAACTTATTTGTAAAATAATATAACCAATTTAACTTTTGAGTAAAGAAGGGAATAAATTTTGTCATGTAAAAAATAAGATGAAAATTGAACACATTAAAAATGTATTTTTCTTTTAGATATTTTAAAGTGAATTTTTTTGTTTTTTTGCGTACAATTTCAAGAAAATTCTGCAAAAATGTTTATGATTTTTGAACAAAACATTTACTGAATTTTTTGCTAGAAAAAAGAATTGAATATTATAGATTGAAATATTAGATTAAGCCAGAAAATTTGCTTGAAAAAAAAATATAATATAATATAATATTTTATTTTAGAGATGTGAATACTTTATTTCGAAGTCAGTCTTTAGCAACAAAAATAATTCATGAACAGATGAAATTTTTTGGACAGCATTACTTGATGATCTCAATTAAACCTGTGATAGACATGGTAACTTGCCTTTTTTTTAAATGTTAGAAATTTTTCGAAATTATATTTTTATTATTGTCAGAATAAAAAGAAAAATCAAAATTTTTGCTAATTTGTTTACAATTCTTATTTTTTAAAAAGTTTTATTATTTTTATATCAATTTTTTTATAGATTTATTGTGAGCGGAAATGCTGCGAGATTGATCCAATGAAGTTGAAGGAAGGCGATAGTTTAGAATCCAATAAGGTTAATTATTGATTATTACGGGTTTTGAGAAATGATATCTATTATATCATTATAGATATTATAGGATTTATTTTAATTATTGCTCTTTTCGAACTAAAAACGTGTCATTCATTCTTATATTTATTATATAAGATTATTATCATTGTTTAATAAACTGAAAGGTATTATTATTATTATTGGTAGGTCAATTTATTATTATTAGGTCAACAAAATATTTGGCAGTTTGAAGACGTATAAGTTGGTAAGAGAATTTATTTTTTGTCAAGTATTTTTTGTTGTATACAAAATTGGATGGATGGAAGCAATAATTTTACCGTAGTGACTTTGTCACATATGAATGAATATATATTCTATTAGCTACCTATGCAAGATAGTTAATAAGAAATGTTATTTTACAGTACTTCAATGATAATTTATTACAATTTATTTATTTATTTTTTGAATTTTTAAAAGAACAGTCATGTAAGTAAGTAGTTAGAAGTATTAAGGATTGAAAAAGTAAAGTATCATTGTATTATTTCAGCTGAATTTGATAGTATATGGCGAGATAGCATTTTCACGTGTAGTTGATTCCAGTCATCGTTGCCCATTAGTATTGCGTGAAATGTTTTCCGATTTGCGTGAACTTGCAGCGCATCATTTTCCTGGTCGTGCTGATGTTCAACGACTAGTACTTGTCTCATTCATTATTATGCGTTTTTTCGCTGCTGCTTTAATGAATCCAAAATCATTTGGACTTAAACGTGATCAGCCGGTTAGTGTATTAGTTCACTTATTTTTATTTCTTAATTTCAATAGTTAATTTTTTTTGCTAACTTTTTTTGTTTCAAGCTTAACTGTTGTAGATATCAGAATTTAATTGAATATGCGTACTGTATAAACATCTCTTTGAGAAATTTCCGTATTCTGACTTTGCTAATCCAGCAAAATATTTGTATTTTTTGAATAAAATTCAAAAATTGATTAGTTTGTCATTTCTTAGATTATGTTTATCACTTTTAGGAAGGTATTGTATGTCGTACATTGGTCCTTCTGTCTAAAATACTTCAGCGATTATCCAACTGTGTTGTTTCTGCGAATTTACTTACTGAAAAAGAACCATGGCTTTCATCGGTTCTCGAAAGGTTAATCAATATGTTTCCATAATATCTTTACTTTATAATTTCATGCGGATCGATTATTATTATAATTAATTTAATAGTAATGAGGTATGAATTTTTAAGATTCACAGACGAACAACATCAGATTGCAATGTTGAAATTTTTAAATACAATTTCGATGGCAGAAAATGATATAGATGTTAACGATGGAAATCTCTCAGTACTTCGTGACGGGTAATAATTTTGATTTAAATTTTATTTAAGCTAAATTTTATATGAAGAAGTTTTGCTCATTAAACGCTAGCCATTATGAACAATGCAAATTCGTGTATTCAATTAAATTACTCGTTTTTGTATTAGATCTTTATTATTATTATTTTTAATAAATTGCATTTTTTGCTTAAATTAAATGATTGATCTTGCTCATATTTTAACTATGCATAATATATAAGAAGACAATAAAAATTGAAGTTTTTATTTAATTTCAGGTTTTTTATTGAAAGAAAAATTCGAAAAAAGCGCAGAATACTGAGAAATTTGGTGAATCAAAAACGAAGATATGTGGTACTCACGGAAAATGAAATTTGCTGGCAGAAAACAAAAGGTAAATTAGAATCAAATTTGTTTGACATTTGTTTTTTTAATTCAAAAATAATTTTGTTCAAAAAATTAGCATGTTTTTTAATACTCAAAATGAGTACTTATTTTCGCAAATTCCCTTATCAGAAGGAAGTAAATTTTAGCAGATTCTGAACCGAAAGGCCGGATGTTACTTCAGGAAGTTAGTCAAATCGAGCCTGTAGTGGATGCAAAAAATGTTTTTAGAATAGCTTCACCAGACTGTGAAATACAGTTCCAAGCACCAAGTACTGTTGAAATGAATGAATGGTCAGATAATTATTTTTGTTTTATTTTTAATTGTATGCATTATATCGTTTATTTTTTAACTTACTTTTACATTTATTCGCTAAAATAATTTTTATTATATATATTTTGTTTTTTCATGCACTTTTTTTTTACTATCGTACATAATTTTATGAACAAAATTTTTTTTCGGAATTTCGAATTAAATATTTTAAGTAATTATTAACACTTTAATTTCTTTTAAATTCTAGGATTGTTCAAATTCAAAAACAGCGCAAACGACAACTAATGATCGCTTTGCGTACTAGTGAATCAACTGATGCATTTGAAATAGATGCAGAACGAGAATTAGAAGCAATTCATATGATTTTGTATGAGAATGCAGAAACTTTGAAACACTGGAAGAATGCATTAGAAGGAACAGAAATTCCATCTGGACATCCCTCAATACCAGCCGCTCTTCGAGATCAAGTTTATCTTTAAGTTTAGAAGCAAAGAACCGTTCTGATTCTGACCGCCCAAGAGATTAAGTCTATTTTCGGTTCTGAAACCAAGAATTATTTTTAGTCTTAACTGAAATACAAGATCAAAATTATCTGTAAATTATACTAATCGTAATCATTTCTGAAGATCAAATCCATTTTTGAATCTAAAATTCAAACCTGATACAAGATTTAGCTAAAAATTTAAGTTTCTATAATTTTCAGCTTGAAAGAAGTACTGATCCGGAACAAGCAAAACAGTTATTCCACAACAGTCTCCAAGAAATTTTGCACGGTACTTTGATGATTGAAAAATCACACGATGAAATTATCAATCGATTCATAAAACAGGTCAGTAATCCTTCAAATTCATCTCAGTCTTTTGATTCCATTCCAAAATTTTTCACGAAAAAATATATTTTACGCTCAATTTCGGTTACTGCTTCATTTCTGTTATTGCGAACTAATCAAAATATATATTTTTTTAAATAATCAGTTGTGGAATAGCCGTGTTACTTGTTTTGGATTAGCGCTATTTTGCAACTGAAAATTACAGAAATTTAAATTTTCAGATAAACTGTTGGGTTTTATTTACTTTCAGATGCGATACAGTAAAGGAAAAAGAGAAATTCCAAGTGTTGATGATAATTATTTGCTCTTAAAATCGCGATTCCGCAAAACTATTAATACTTGATTTAAAATGAAGCTGAAAAAAAGTGGTTCAAAAGTAATCCGTAATGATGGGAGAATATGTGAGTGCTGTTCATGAACTCAGGAAACAAACCAAATTTTATGAATATGCCTTTTATTTTTTTTAGATTTTATATAATTAATTCATTTTTGTGTAATTTATTATTCAAAATAATTTCGTGTTTTTTTCTATCGACCAAATTCTTGCAATAAACTTCTTAATTTTTTGTCTTATTTCTTAGATTAAAAACAAAAAATAAGTGCTGTTTTCAAATTTCATTGAAATTTTTGATAATATTTTAGTTTTCTTTTATTATTTTGATTGCAGTTTATTTGATAGACATTTGAAAAGTGGTAATAACTTTTAAATTTTTGGAAATTACAAATTAAATTTGAAACGATCAGTTGTTTCTAAATATTTTTCATCTAAATAATTTGTGCAAAAAAACATTTACATAACAAAAATAAAATTTGTTCTTTAATTTTGCCAGTTTCAGTGAAATTTCTCATGCTTTATTTACCTCGACAGTTTTTTCTAATTATTATTATCATTTATCATCATTATCTTAATTATTATTATTACTGTTATTATTATTGTCTTTATTAATATTATTATTTTTATTACTACTATGATTATTATTATTATTATTATTAACAAGACGATTATTTCGTTGTGATTAGTGTATTCTTTCTCAACCGTCTTTTAAATCAACTTTGATTCAAAACTTGCTTTTGCAAGTTCATTTTTTATTTTTGCATTTTTTCTGATGCCAATTAATTATAATAAAAATACTAAAATTTGTAAAGTCCGATTAATTTTTTTTTCATTAAATACAAGTATAAGATCTCTTGAAGCACAAATAACTGATTACTTATTCGTATATATTAAATGTACATAAAAATTGAAGTTTGTAGCAGTTTTATTTTAATGTCTTCAGGTAAATTATTGCTTGCATTGTTATTGTTGTTTTGACTATTACTTCATCTGTTTTTAACTCTAATTGAAGTTCTCATCAATTATTTTTTGCAAAAATATGCAAAAACTTTATGAATCACAGCAGAATGCATTAAAATGAAGTATTGTCTTTTTTATGTTTAAAAACAATTTCTTTTTTCGATTTTTAACCATTCCAAAACTGTAAAAAAAGTCCTTCGCGCAACAAATTCAGTAAAGTAAGCAAAAATAGACGCAGTTATTATTTTTCTCTTAAATTATAAAAAACAGTGATGTTGAGAGATGTTAAACGTGTAAGTTGCTTCTGATCAAAGAATGTAAAATTTGCAGTATGATTCAAAAAACGTGGTTTTCAATATTGTCACGTGAAATTTGGTACTTTTTTCCTTTTTTTTCGCCTTTTCATGAAAGATTTGCATCATGAAACCGCTGCTAATCGCAGTAGTAAACCCAAGGACAAAAATTGTAATTATAATCAGTCGTTCAATAACCTTTAATAAATAACAATAATTATATGTTTTTTTTTCATTATCACATAAGCATGCAATGACGGAGCACATAGAAATGAGTTCATAAATACAGTATAAACTGAAATACAAAATACTTTGTCAAAAGCTGTATAGATTGATCAGACTGATTGATTGAACATAATATAGAAAAATTCAGCAGATATTGTGTGGTCAATTTGCGTTTCTGATCATTAAAAGCAATAGTATTTTTTATCAGTAAGTCTGATTAAGCACAAGTAACTGAAGTGTATGCGATTAAGACTTCTTACTATTTTTGCTATTATTGTTATTATTATTATTATTATTATTATTATTATATTACAAAAATATTTTTATCAATTATCATTTTTAATTCTTGTTATTTATTATTATTACTATTACTATTATTATATGTCAGCAATGATATTGTTAAAAGTAAATGGATCATAAAGTGAGGAGCGAAAATTTTATTGTTAAAATATAATTTCAGTGGAAAAAATGAAAATGTTTTGTATTCTAAAAATGAAATTATGACGTTTAACTTCAACTAGATTGGCAATCTTTATTTGTCTTAATCATTTGTAGCCTTCTGATTCGAGACGTAAGTCTGAAAGAAAAGTTTACATATTAAGTTTGTTTGCCAAAAGACATTTCATTTGGAATCAACAAGGATATCAATTAGAATATGTAATTCATTACTTCAAAACACGAATTGACCTATGACACTTGACATTGTAATTGAAGAAATGGACTTTAAACTAACTATTCCTTGTTGTTTGTTCATTATGAATGCAAATTTATGCAAAATGAATTCGATTTCGTTAATTAAATGCAACAATTTCAGTTATATATATTGAATAAAAGTTTTGCGACTTAATGAATATAATATCTCAATATAAATTCCATCAGTTATCAGAAAATATCATAATTTTTGTAAATTGTTCAAACCGTTAGCTGATGGAAGTTCCATTTTCACGATCGGTTCGACGTGTTTCAATTTTTCTGCGTTGAAATTAGCAATTAACGTAGGAACTTTTTCTCGAGCTATGTCTGAATCACTTATTTATGATAATGCGTCATATTCTTGATCTAATTTTTATAAAATTTTAACATATACTTTACAGAATTGGTTTCAATAGCAAATTTATCAAATTGACATTATTTGAATTGACATTCTTTTTTTTGCTGAGAAATAAAGTAATGAATGAGTGACCCTCAGATGTTGGGAGTGAATTTTTCTCGACAACCTCAGCACGACGAAGTTTACTTAGATCACGATTCAGTATTTCTTCTTTCAGAATTTCATCTACTTTTTCTCGATACACTTCTAATATTACAACAATAATAAGATTATAATATTTGTAAAATAAAATTGTAAAATTTTGCTTTGAGCATTTACTTATTTATTATTAAATTATTAAAGTGTTAAGAAGACAACTGATAAGGTAGAGATTCGAAAATGAGTTCATATATTATGGCAAATATATGGTAAAAATTCGCGTTAATAAGATACCTTTAATAAATATGTTTTTAGGAATTAAAAAATTTTTTGAAATCAAACAGTAAAAAGTTTTCAATCACTGATAACAACCTTCAGGTTTTGGAAGAATATTTTTTTCAATGACATCTGCGTGGCGCAATTTGCCTCGATCATGCATTTTTATCTCCTCTTTCAACTCAAAGTCGATTTTCTCCTTATAAATATCTCAAAAATACTAATTAAATATTCAAAATAATAATTATAATTTTGAAAAAGTAAGAATTTTGTAAAAATTCAATAAATAGTACTAAAAATGTTATTGATAAACATGTTTATCAATAATTTGCCATCACTAAAATGACTAAAAAGTGTTTTTATTTTACAGTATTTTGTTCAAAAAAAAATAAAAAATTTTCCATTTATATTATTTACTCAATAAAAGAACTAACTGCTGAAGCAATGATAATCCTAGCTTAAATTAGCTAGTAATTAAATTTTAAAAAAATAAATAAATTACCAAGTGTTGTGGGTAAAATCGTTTTTTCCGTGACCTCCACGTGTTTTAATTGCTGGCCTTTTGTTACATCTGCAGCAATTTCAGATGGTAGTTTTCGTGCATTTGCAATCAACTTATTATGACTTTGTTCTTCCATATTTAGTAAGCTAAAAAATATTACAAAATTTAATTTATAAATTACATCTCACTCATAGGACTTATATAAAATATCACAATTTAGGTAAGAAGTGTAACTTTTTCCAATTACATTACTATTGATTATGTTGCATCTAAAGATGTAAGTAATTCAGATTCATCTATTAAAGAACAAATAATCATTCATTTTATGGAAATATACATATAGAGCATAAATTATCTGTACAGAAAGATGAGGAAGAATTATTTATGCAGCTGGCTTAAATAATATTGAGTATAGCAAAAAAGATACAATTAACAGTAAACTTAAAATCAAATGTGAATATTGCAAGTTTACTGAAGCAAACAATTTTGTCTAAAGAAAATATTCACGCAACTACGAATTTCTACGTGACTTCGACGTCGTCTAAGAAATTCTAATCCTAAGTGACTTTGCAAACTGAAACGCATTAGTTAAGGCAATAAATGTGAAAAGAGGACTTTAAGGAGGGAGAAAATGCGTGGCAGTTGTAAGAAATATGCAAAAGGCATTAATTTCAGTTGAGGCCATTCGTTATTGTAAACAAAACGAGCAGTGCAAATAACATTATATCCATCGCTCTCTTGACCTCACCATGACCTGATTTAATTCATGTCCATGACCTAATGTGAACTATATTGACTATCTAAGCACATTTTTAATCACAACTTAAATTTAATTTCTTGCAAAACAAAAATTTCAAAAACTCTCATACTTATGATTATAAAAAAAGCCACCAAAAATTAACTGTTAATAACTGAATAAGTGATTCTAATAGCATATACTAAGTCAAACTGTGCTATACTTAAATGGAACTCATAGGAGCAAGATCAGGCACAAACACGAAACACTAAAAAGGAATTTCTTAGGTCAAAATAATTATTCATCAGTTACAGTAATTGTAAGTGATGAACCGTACTTGCGCTTAAAGTATTAGATCATTCAATAGATTAAATCTCAAATGTAAAGTGTTTCTTTGCTGTGGTAAATAATGACACGGTACTTTTAAAAAAGTGATCAAAGATACATCAACACAAAATTTTTACAGTAATACTTTCATAAGAAATTTTTTATATGAGTAAAATCAAACTGAAACTTAAAGAATATTAAAAAAAAAAGTTTTACAGTTAGGTAAAAAGTTTTACAGTTATCAATTGCTCTTATTTTTTCAAGGCCAAGTCAAAATAACTTTAGAATCTTTAGATTTTTTTTTAACAAATTTATGCATTTTTTACTTTAACGAAAACGTCTAAACGTCTAAACGTAATTTAGGCTTAAAAGTAATTGCTTAGATGGCAAAAAACTATCACAGTATTGAAAAAAATTATTATCGACAAGAATTAAACGCGAAAAACTTCATCTACCGTTATTGGCAAACAGTAATTAAATTACTAAATGGAATAATACTGTTTGTGTTTGAAATTTGAAGTATTTTTTAAATTTTAATTTTTTAAATTGAAAAAGTTTAAGTGAATAGATTTGAACAATCAAATAGTCAAAAAATTATATGTGAATTCGAAAAATATTCACAAAATTATGTCTATGTGAAAGAAAATGAATAAAACGTGTCTTTGCATATTATAATACAAAAATATTAGACAAGTTTAAAATATTAATTATCGAATTCAAATTGAGTTCAAATTTCTTAAAAAAGCAAAGTTATGAAAATATTATTTTCGTAAAATATTTTGTAGTAGGAGCGTAATAAATGTTGCATATAACAGACATAATAGACAGTCAACTATTACAACGGTACTATTATAATATAAAAATTGCTAATCTTCCGCATAATTATTTAAATATAAATAAAATTCTATTTGTATACATTAATATATTTATAGCAATATTAATGAGATTCTATTTGTATACATTCATTTTTGTGAAAAATTTACATTTATAAACTGAAACTGTTGAAAAATAGTTAGTAAAAAAGTTTATTTTTGTAGTTGAAGAGGCAAAGCAAAGAAAAAATTTAATGCTATCGAAAATAAATAAATAAGTAAATATATTTCTTGAAAAAAAATTACAATTGTGGCACAAATATGCAAATGCCTTTGTAAAAAGTTAATAAAAGGTATAAAACGAAACGATTTTTGTCTATAACATCTGGCAATTCTGTGATTCAAATTCAGATTCTGAATATCATTAATCAGACATTTTTCTATCATTGCTATACTCAAATTGAATTTGAATTGCCAAATAAATGTTTGCCTGTTTGAGCATTTTTTGCACTATTAATATCAGCTAAATCAGCAAAAATTGCAGTAAATATATTATAAATTATGCTTTGACTGTATTAATTATCATATTCAAAATTGATTCATTGCTTGCCTTTGACCGTTTGTTTATTAATATTTTCATTATTTAACAAAAGTTAATTTTGTATATATCTTTTATTATTATTAATTCAAAATTAATTTTCATATAAATACTTTTGCTAAAAGTTGAAATTTAATTTTTCTAATTTTCTATCAAAATTGAAAATAATACGATTGAAAATTTCCCAAGAATGAATTTTTTGATTCATAATTTTACATTTTTGAATATCGTTTATGAAGTTGTGGTGAATGATAATAGATAGACTGATTATTCAAAATGGAATTTGATATTTCTGAAATCGAATTTTTCTGAGATAAACAAAAAAAACTTGCATTTTCGTTACGGAAGAAGTAAATAATTAATTTCCAGAAGAAAATTAGAAAAATTAATTAAAGTATTCCATCACGAATACATAAATACATAAATTACATAAATTTTTACTCTAAATTTACTTTTAAATTTACTTTTAAATTTACTTTACATCTTTTTACATTCAATTTTACATTTAATTTTACTTTTAATTTTTACTTGTGATACATAAATTTTTACTTTAAAAATTGTGTTTACTTTTTTGGTACTTAAAAAAAATTTAAACACAATCGAATTGTCGAACACATTTATATACATTAAAGCTAGCAGTCAAATCTAGTTTAATTATGCAAATATTCTAAAGTAAACAAAAAATTAATCAAAATTATCCGCAATCACTCAATCGTGCTAGAAAGAGAAAATTGTGATAGAAAAAAGTTATTTTTTGTATAAAATAATTTTTTAATTTTATGTTGAATACAGGTTTTTAAAGATTTTGTTCTAATCATAAAATTTGCATAATCAAATATCACCTATAAAATTCGATTATTAGTTGAAATTAAAGCAAATTCGATATATGCATATGATATAATACTGCTATATTTCGTTCTTATAATGTATTTATTAAAATATAATTACGATACAAAGCAATTACAACCTAACGTGCAGCTAATATTTAAAATAATTTACTTATTTTGACATAATTAAGTAAAATCTTTTTCTAATAAACAATGAAAATGGTTTTTAAATATTCAAATTAAAATACTAATTTGCATATTTTACGTCTGAAAAGACTTATTTTTAGTGCATTTATTGAAAGGAGAAAGCTGGAACAAATAATAATTAATCACAAATGAAAAATTTTGACTTGACGTTGCATAAATTAATTAAAGCATTGCGTTTCTTTGTTAGGATTAAAACATATTTACATTTTTGGCTTAGAAAGAGAAAGAATTTAGCGAAAGTGAAAGCAATCAGTCAAGTGAAAGTTAGCTTTTAAATTATTGTGTCGTAAATTATTAGTGCGATTTTGATATTCTGCTAAAATTTTTTGAATTTAATAAATAAAAATAAAACTTATCTAGATTGTTTCTGAAAAATATTGACATTCTAATAAAAATTTCTCTTTTTGATAAAAGCATTTTTGCTAAAATATTATTATATATTTAAAAAAAGTCAAATGAAAAATTTCCTTTTAAATTCAAATTTTATTATTTTAAATAATAATTTATTCTTGCAGATATTTGATCTATCTGCATAAGTTAAACTTTTTCAGTGCTAATCCCACGTAAAATGCGTGAAATTTGAAGTGTATGCATATAATTTTTATTTAAAAACTTTGCTTTCTTTCTGCTTGTCTTAAAAAGAAAAAGTACGTTTCAGAATACCAAAATTTGTTCTAAAAACTTTAATTACTACACTTGAAAAGTCTTGATTTCTTGACAAGCTTAGTCGCTTAACTGCTCACAGTAATGTGCTTTGTTTGAGTTTTGTCTTAACTGTCTGTTTAGAGTATATTTGGAAGGACATGGAAGCATTTCTTTGACTTAATTAAGAGTTATATTCATTTTATTACTAAGTCAAAGGTTACACTATTTGACTACGTGATGATACGTGAAAGTTGCAGACGTTTAAGTTTAATTACGGATCAATCGCTAATCAATTACTTGATCTTAAGTAATTTCTTTTTAGCAAATTGTGGCCAAAAACATTCACTTAGGGTCATTTATTATATGTTTATAGGCTGTTACAAACATGCCAAGGGTCAGCATGCGTTAATCCACAGCTTGTCATTATTCGTTTAAAAGACGAATAAAAACAAAAAATAATCAAATGAACAAAAAATAATTTTGTTTTTTGAATCATTAAATATTGCAAGAGATAAGTATTACTGCAATATTCGATTTTAATTAGCAAAATTAATTAGAAAAATATTCTCAAATAAAAACTTCAATTTATTTTAATGATTATTTTAAAAATAAAATTGCAAAAATCAACTGTTTCTCATTAATATCAAATTATAAAATTACACGTATGTCTTGGTAATTTTTGATAATCAAATAATCAAACTGTAATTATTTGAAAATACTGCATTTATAAAAGCAAATTATTGAGTAAAATATTCAAATCGGTTTAAAAATTTATAACAATTTTAGGATTATATAACTTTATTTCTACCATTTTGTTATTTTTCATGCTCGTAAGGTTAAATTTGCCTTAAAAGTGACTTTTGGCAAATGAATAAAATCAAATAATTTAATTTGCGAATAAAAAAAAACAAATTACAACTTTCTCAATGCTTCACTTTTATATTTGCATAGCAATTCTTAGCTTTGATTTTTCATTTTTTTACTTTCGAAAGTTCACTGCACATTTTTATTCAAATATTTTAGTATTATGCAAACTTTGCCCTAAAAATAATTTACAAAATTTAGGCAAATTTGAAAATTAATTGAATTCATACAAATTAATTAAATTAATTAATACAAATTATTCTTTACAGAAACTGAACAATTTTGAACGGAAAGAACGCATTCAATCACAATGATAATATCATTATCTGATCTAATCAATAAACCCTAATGTAATCATTGAATTTAATATTAATTATGATTTTTAGTATTTCATTTTTATTCAATTATAGACTGCGAATATTTTTTTGCATACTTATTAAATCAATTCTTCTATACTTTACTACGTTCAAAAATAAAACTTAATCAATAACTTGTTATTGATTAAGCATTGAAACTGAATATTACTCAGTACTTTTTACTTAATATAAAGTAAGATAAAATTCTCAATGTTTTTGCACTATTCTGCAAGACAGACTGTCAAAGTAAGAACACTTCCGAAAGTTCGTTGCACTGCGTTATAAACCACTCACTTTTTACGGCAGTCATAACATTAGTAATTATTACTTTCGTTGAAGTTAATCCTAACGCACCTATTTCTCCTCCCAATTCTTTCAAGTGAAGTTTTGGACTAGTGGTGCTGAAAGTATAGTGTAGAGGCTGAGTTTACGGTTGCATTTCCTCAGGGATCAGCAGTCCCAAGCTGACCTCATCGTTTGTGACCGACAATTCTTCATGAGATCTGATTTCTATTCATTGTCATAGGGTGAGTTCATTCTGTGGGATTTATAGTAAGGGTAGGGCCTTGAGGGGTCATAGAGGTCAGTCAGATCCTGGTGAGGGAATGCAGCATGGGTTACAAAATATTTAGCCAAATAGTATTAATTACCAAAAAAGATTTGCAGTAATTTAAAAACACTCTTATTTGCAGCTTGAAATGTGTTGTAGTCTTGTGTAGTAATAATTCAACATCATTTTGATGCTCAGTGATTTTTCTATCAAATTCTAATTATTAGTGATTCAGTGATTGCATTCAGAAAGAATTTAGTGATTCTACTCAGAAAGAACTTTCGGAGATTCTCGAAATGCTTCGAAATATTTCTCACAACTATTATAAGTGTGAATTTGTTCCAAATTAAATAATTATTTTTGTGCAATATTGAAAAATAGCATTTAGATACTGAAAAAAGAATCATAAATTTTGTGAGAGTCACTGGAAGTGATTTATTGAAATGATTGCATAAAATAAAAGTAGAAGCATTTTTGTAACTTTTTAATGATAATATTCCATGAAAATTAACTTTCTGTCGCATTTGTAAAGTAATTACTTAATTTCAATATGTTTGGTGTGATACTGTATAGATGCATTTACTGTACAGATGCATTTAGAGTAGAAGTAGGTTATTTTGTAAGCTTGCTTTTGCTTGAAAAATTTTTTATTGCAAATGCTAAAGGTTGATGATTTGATACCAGTTGAAAAGATAACCTTTATCATGTTTATTAGCATGATTTTTACAACTATTTTTCAGTAAGCATTGAGTTAAAACATGTGAACTCGTTTAGTGATCTTAATAATAATAGTAATAATATATCTATAATAAAACAAAATCGAATAGTAAAAAGTTTTATTCAAATCGGCAAGAGAATTTAAATGAAATAGGAAAAATGTAAGATGTCAAATTGTTTCTTTCTTTTTTTAATTGATATAATTTAATTAATTTTGCACATTTTATATTTGCACTTATTAATTATGAATATCATGAAAAAACGCATATTATTTATAGTTATTATTCCATAAGCATAGTAAGTTTCGATTTATTCAGACAACTTATATGCATGAAAAGTTTCCACGTATTTGAATAGCTTTGCTCACATTACCAAAAGTATTTTTAGGCTCGAATTCCACAATACCAGAAGTTTGTGGCCAACCACTTGTCTGCACATCTTCGGTAATTGTCCCTTTCTCCCTCTGTACAAGACTTAAATCCGAACGAGCGGTCATCTGTAGTCATTACGTGATGTGCTGATAACAATAAAGTAAAGTAAAATCGTAAACATATTTTTCTGTTTTGCACTTGTAATTGGTATCTAATTAAAGTTAATTCAGTTTTGGATATGGATGAAATATTTAAGTACAATACATTATATTATATCTGAGATTGTATTATTGTGTACTGCATAATATGACTATAAACCTTACACTACTACTACTTAAATCTTTTGGAGTTAATTGTCGATCTGAATATAATTCTTGTTTGTCTTCTTCGTACTTCTTATGCCATTGCTGCATCATATCTTCACTCAGTAATTTCTATATTAATACATAATTACAATTATATAATCATGCGAAATACTTTAATTACATTAAAAAATTAATTAATTTGCATTGAATTACTTGTAAATTGCATACTTTATATCCAGCACTTTCATACTTGAATACTTTCTTCTCTGCTATTTTCTTTTCAGGACACTTTAGAGTACATAATTCCATTTTTTTTGACTTAAAAATTTTCGTTACAGCTCTAAAAGTTTTCATATTTTTCTGTATCAATGACAAATTATTATTAGTTTCAATAATAGTTTTGAATTTTTTAAAATTGAAATTCTAGAAAAATATTTTTTCCAAATTCAAAAACACTTTCTGTCATTCTACACTTAAGTTTTATAATTATAATATATCCAAAAATTAATTATAATATCCAAAAATAATTATAATTATAATATATCCAAAAATTAATTATAATATCCAAAAATAATTATAATTATAATATATCCAAAAATTTTGATAATTATTTTTTCTTAACATTCAGAGCAGACTTTAATGATGTGATGTCCAGAATTGAGAACAAACTTCGTTGGTTTCATATTTTCCTCTTCTGTAATAGTGTAGACAGGTAACCTTTTGGCAGCATTGAAAATACGACCTTGAGTTCGTCTTCCCACCTTTCTTTGACGAACTGTAATAATTTTCTGTTGTATGCATACTTTTTGCGATTTCAACTTTTTGTTGCGACAACAAATAAAATAAGAATACTTTATGCATCATTTAACGAATTTTAATTATTTCATCCACAGATTCAAATTTCTTCCATTCGATTCATTTAGGAATGGTTTAGATAGTGAGAAAAAAGTATTTTTCTTATTAAGAATTTTTTGAGATTTTTTAGACTATTAACTATTATTAATTAAGGAATGGAAGAACTGATTATAAATTATAAAATTGGATCATCATCACTAAAGCATCGTATTTACATAATTATAACAGTAATAATTGTCATTATCATGATCGCTACTGTTATCATTTTCTTGATATTTGACGGGAATTACGTATAATTGGGCCATTCCATGATAACAGGATCATTTGGAGAGAAGTCTTATTTGCTCACAGTACTATTACTCGGACTTATTCCTGTTGATGATGACGATATAACTGAGCTATTACCTTTTGCAGTGATACTATTTAGACTATCTGAATCACTCTTTCTTTCCACGTTAATTTGTATTGAAGGTGCCTGATATTGTAAAGCGCTTCCACTACGTAACGATGCATTTTCAGTGAAATCAATACATAAAGTCATGTGAGCTGGATAAATACATGATGATGAAAAGTAATTACGTACTGCTGTTTGTACCACTTGACGTACTACCTAAAGTTATAACGCCTATCAATAATCATATTCAAATTTTCACAAAATTGCAAATTATATCTAAAGTTCAAAAATTTAAGGATATGCAGTTTTAATGATAGAAGTTTCTTGGATCTAAAATACGTATATATATGTATATATATATAGCTTGTAAATTGAGTGGTACAGTACTTTCATCATCACTTCTTCAGTAATATTACTTATTATTAATTTAATAATAAAGACTACCATAACCATAATAAATTTTTATTATACATTAGCATACAGTATGGATAGTAAGTAGAATACATCAGAAAACAAACTTACGGCATGATCCGTGCATGCGTATTCTGCGTCAAATTCTGTTAGCACTGCACCACTACTCGATGCTGCTCCACTGACTACGTCACTCCCTATTGTTGACGACATTAACTGATTGTTAGATACACATCAAATAATAATTTGTCACATATCAATTTGCATTTATATCATTTACTCTCATATCAATATGCAAATTTTTTAATCTATAAAATGTTAATGAAGATGCAATTGTTAAGTTTAAATGTAGTACAAATTGAAACTTCATGACTTCAATTGAAGATAAAATGCTTTGGAGTCGATTCTGAACAAATGAAGTGTGCATAAAATTTCAAACTTTAAAAGTTTATTGTAAATTGGTTGTTGAATGCCTTTAGAAATCTTTTTATGATTTAGAATCTAATTGTGAATTTGCAATTAAATCCTCTTAAGGGCAGAATTTTATGAAACAACTGTTAAGTTTAGGCTTAGGCTTAAAAAATAAAAACTAGATAGTGCTTAGAATTTTTTAATCATAAGCTAAAAATTGATTTTCACTGCAATTTAACAAGCCATATGTAATTACTCTATAATTATCTTTTACAAATATCGTAAACGTAAAATTAGCTAAATTATGTAAGCTTGAAGACAAATAAATAACTCTAATAAAGCTTAATAAATGGTTGATGGTCACAATTTCTTGATAACAAGCAAAGCTGTAATAATAATTTTTATTAATGAGACAGTATGTAGAAGATAATACTCACAAGCAAAAGAATATTTCACAAATCACAAAGCATATAAATTAGCAAAAATGCTGAAAGTGTAAAGCGATCTCGTCTGATTCACACTGATCAAATTAATAAGCTGTGCATTTATACAACTATTCACATGACCTTATAACTTAACTATTCACATGACCTTATAACTTCTTACTAGCTATTACAAACTTTACAAATTATAAATCCGATTATTTATTTTATGCACGACGAAATTTAGAATAATGTAAGATTAGAAAACATCAATCATTAAGATATAATATATTGAAATATGTTTTGTAACAAATTGAAAAACAATCATTAATAATGTATTCTGATGCTGAAAATATAGAAAATAAGGTTGTTTAAATCAAATAAACTATTGTATGAATTTCTGAACCAAAAATTAGTAATAATTCAATTATGCTAAGAGAATATATGCCAATTCATTAGCAGTTCTTTAATTTTTATACACTTAAACTAATAATAAAAACAATTATTTTTTAGATGATGTGAACATATTGCAAAAAATTTGACATCAATACATATGGTCAAAAAAAGAGTTATATGATATAATTGATATTTTTGTACATTTATAAAGAATCTTCGGATATTTCTTAATTTCCACAATGTTTTATAAATGATAAATTGTTTGAGATCAGCAAAAAGTATAGATACAAAAACTGAAAAATTAAAATGGTCAATAGTTAATAATAGACGAATATTACTGTAATTGACATCAAACTTTATAAAATTTCAAATTTGGAAACTTGCTTTTTCTTCTATTCTTTTTTGCTCGAAACCTCAGAATGCGTTGCAGCACCTGAAAATATTTAGAATCATTGCAGAATGATTTATAATTACTTTAAAAAGATATATTCAAATCAGCAATTTAAATAAAATTCTGGGAGAAGCAATGACTACATTGTGATTACAAAAGCAGTAAACAATTTAAAACAAGTCAATTTTTTAAATTCTCAATAAAAATTTTTAAATTAGTTGAAAAGTTTTATTCTTAGTAAAAATAATTCTTTTAGAAATTTCATACTTGCCATGAAATCGTTTCTGTTACGTTTAATGCTTTTCTGATTCTATCGAATATTAATTTATTAAATAATTATGTAAATAAATAATTGTTAGATTTTATCTTAAGAAATAAATAATTGTTACACGCGACAGTAATATAAGCATTAAAAGTGTTAGCTAACTTACCCCAAAGCATAACATTCATTTCATCCCCAATAATATACAATAACCACAAAAAGAAGCATGATGTTACAAATAGTATGAAGAATGCAGTAGTTGTCAAATAATCCATAAATGGATAAAGCCAGTAATTATCCCAATATCGTACTCCAAATATACTGAAAACAAAGAATATGCATGCAATTAATAAATCTATCACTAAATTAAAATTATAAGTTACTTTACAAAAATTAATTTTAGCTTGGTGTTAATTTAAATAAATTTACTACAGAAGTAATTATCTCTTACATGCTAGACTTATACATATTTTATCAAAAATATCCATTTGCTACAATTTTCGTCTAACTAAATTCAAAAAATTTAGATGAAATGAATTCAGGAAAAAAAAATATTGTAAAGCTTAGTTTCAAATTTTACATAGCTTAAATATATGTTATTATCTTTAAACAAATTCTTCATATGACAAAAATAAATCTGTTTTTATTTGCAAATACCAAAAAGGTAGTTGCAAAGAATAATAATATATCACTATATCAATTAAAGATAATTAATTATTTGCGTACTACAAATATTTCTTTTAAGTTGTGAAAAAATACAAAAATATGCATAAATTGATATGAAATTTCTGTGATACCAAAGTACAAATGTTTTTTAAATTATCACTTTTTTAAAATATATAATAATATTTAAATAACTCAAGAGTAAAAGAAAGCTTACATAGCAAAATAAAAAGTTACTAAGCCGACGATGATAGCGCTGCCAAGCTTACGTGAAGGTGCACGATGACACGTTAATAAAGTATCAACCAAAATAAATGGTATAGGTGCGGTATGTGTGATGTGGTTCATAAATGGAGGAATAAGATTTTCAGCCCATTGAGGTATTACCAAATATGGGTCCAAAGCATATAAACCCCAAAAAAGTAAACAAGTCGTCTGAAATTTAAAAAAAAAAATTACATTTTAGACATTGATGCATTTTGCAAAAAAAACATTGAAGTAATCACAAGACTGTAGTAATCAACAAGAAATGTTTCAAACTTACAACACCAACAGGTAAGACACTGGTAAAATACATGAAATCTGAGATTTGATGAAGTTTTGAATTTCGCCAATAACTTGGTGTAGATGGATGTTTTCTATGCGGTCCATAATCTGCTTTATCTTGCGCAACATCCATAATTGCACATACAAAACAAATTGAGTAATATACTGCTTGTAAAACCTAAATTTTTTTTCAATTAAATACGCTTGGCAATATTTTCAATTAACGTTCAAATAGTTCAAATGAATGAAAAGTAACGCAATAATTTACTATTAAATTATGAATTTATTGAAATTTACTAATTTAATTGTGTAAACATTTAAATATATCGATTATAGATCTCTGTCAAATCCAATATTCAAATATTTTTATCTCAACTCAAAGCACTGATAATTAAACGTAAACAATGAATTTTGTTTTTAACTTATTTCACATCTTATTATTGATCTATTTAATTAGACTATATTAGTGAGAATTTAATTAAGTAAACTAACCAAGTTAATCATTGTTAACATCACTAATTTATAAATCCACCATGCATGCCCAATTCGTGGCATGTAAACAATGTCATAAGCAAGGGCAAATAGAAAAACACCCGCTATTATGCTATATATTGTGACACGAAAAAATCCCATCTAAATCTGCATAATTTTAATATCATTGATAAGTTATAATTGATATGTATAATTAATAAAATTTTAAAAAAGTGAAATTTTTCGAATTTTTTATATGTATAATTAATGAACTTATTAATTTCATTAATTATACATATAAATGATAAGAATGATAACTTATCAATCATATCTCCAAGTCAAAACATTTTTTAACTTTTACTCAGCAAAGTTATTGTTTACAAATAAAACTTTTTAAAAAGGAAAACTTTTGTAACATTTTCAAATTATCTTAATGCAATTTTTTTTCTTTTACTTTTGTACACGCAAACAATATGCAATGCAATGATAAGTAGTTAAACGTTTCTCTTACGTATACACGTAAAAATATAAATAAAAATAACGGAAGTTCATTTCTGATATAAACAATGCAATACAATTTTCATAATGAAGAAACTTTTACACACCCCGTAATGAAAAATATCCAATCAATTGTTCTAAGAAAATCGATCTAATCAAACACTCCCCTCACGACATATTGATCGACACTACATATTATCACTTACATAAATCAATTCCTTGCGATCATTGCCGTATGACAAAGAGGAAAAACGCAAACATTTTATTTATAGAAGAAGAATAAATGTGACTCAAATTGTAGTAAGGTTATTGTTAGGATACTACAATGGTATTAAAATACCATAATTTTGCTACCATTTCTCTAGCATTACTTTTGTACTGTAATACTGAGGTTGTATTGTTGCTACACGTAGCAATACTATTTTATATTTACACGTAATGAGTTTTCGCTACTTTACTTTCATACGAGATGAATATAATCGATGATTATCTATATAAGTACTGCGTTATTGAATGCCTTAAGAAAGTAATTCCTTCCTCTTTCACTGCACATTGAGTAATCACACTTACACTTAAATCAAATGATAAATATTCAAATTATAACCAGTCGTGGATGACAATAATAAAATATAATCGTAGAGTAATGAAAATGAAGTATGTATCACAATAATTATTTAATAATAATGATAATAATAATAACAATAATAATAATAATAATTACATTTGTTTTTTATATTTTTAAACTTCTGACATATTCGAAAGAGTAGTTATTGTTATAATATTCTTGCAAATATATATCGCAGAATTGATTTTTGCACAAAAGTTGCACAGATGAAAAAGATAAAAAATTTGCATTTTTAATATGTGCTTTTCCAGTGATATAAATAATCTGCAGCAAAAAAAAAGTTAAAAAATGAATAAAATTTTCTACGATAAACAAAACAAGAAGACGAAGTCGACCCGATGACACTCTGCGAACATTTAAGAAAGGAAAGGACTGGCAGATGGGTAGAGGATGGACAGACACTGCTCAATAATCATTAATTTTTTTCTTTTTTTTGATTTTTTAAATTAGAGTTATTAGTTGTTTTATGAGAGGTTGTTTTGCATGCATTGATAAAATGATAATATTGCATATATAAATGAGTAGCAATTTAAGTTTTGCATAATTTGCTGGAAGTTAATGAACTGAATTGAACAAACAAACATTTATTTGTCTTAATTAGGTCATCTAAAAATTCCACAGAGATTTGAATAAATTAAACATTTTGAGCAATTTCACTTTATTTACATGTATGTAACAGTGAATTTGAAAAAAAAGAATTTCAGATACTACATTTTTCATTTGTACATGGAATATGAACTGCTCGAAGATAGTGGATATTACAAGAAGCCGAGAAAAATGTACTGAAAATGAGAACAAGTATGTATGAAGAAGATTAATATATTTAATAATAAATCGATAGATCAGTAATTTTGACCTTTATTTGTCATCATACTCAGTATACCAAACTGTACTCTTTTGTAAAATTTATGAAGCGATAATAATCTAAGCAGAATTCATTCATAAATAAATTCGGTTAAGTCGTCTCATAAATTTTTAATTTTTAATCGCTTTTACAATGAATGCCATTTTTAGATTTTTTGATGAATTCTTGATGGATTGTAATATGAGTTCAGACTGACTAACCGACAAACAAACAAACAAACTAACTAACTAACTAACTGACTGACTGACTGACTGACCTACTAACTAATCATTAAGGGTTCTATAAGTTTCAGCATCTCAGTCTTAGTAAATGGCCTTTAGTCCAAACTAATTATTAACACTATTAGCATTTTCTGAGGAGCAGCACATATGCATATTTTTTAAAATTTATTCATGCAAGTAGACAAAAGACAAAATTTATGCAACTCTCAAACCGTAAATATAGTTGAGCAAAACTCAATTTTCATACTTTTTAAGGTAATGAAAACAATAGTTGCAGTAATAAAAGTGCCAAAAATTGCTATTAAAATTCATTTTGTTAAAAGTTATAAAAAGCGCAAAATGCAAAGCTATAAAATATAGAAAATAAAATAAATTCTATTTTAATCATTTTTTTGCTTAAAATATGGAAAGTACTAATAAAAGATATTTTTTAAACAATTTTCTGTTTATTTTTGAATATAAAAAGTCGAGCATTACACTTATTGCAGTGGCAGTTGTGATGCGTCTCTTACTTCTAACTAAAATGCATATTGCGACTGCTAATTTATGTAATGGAATTTAAAATATTTTAAATTACACTATTATCTAAAATGGATGAAAAATGAATTGAATAACAAGTATTTTTTTGATCAATTTTAGTGCAAAAAGAGGGAATAAAAGTCAGTAGTGATTGCGCAAATGACAAAGTAAATTAACGAAAATTACTTTTTATCATTTTTATAAGTAATTTTTTACACAAATGTAAACAATGATTCATTGAAAATGACGTTGCTAATAATGGAATAAAAAATTAACAAAATATTAAATTAGTAAAATTATTAAAAAATTGATATTTTTTCAATAAGTAATAAGTATTATATATGAAAGACAAAGTTTAACGCAAAATTTAGAAAATATTTTATCTAAGTAATAAATAAAAAATAATTTCCAATTTCAGCAAGTGATTTAGTCTACGTCTTTTTTAAATATTACTAAGCTTTGATTGTTTTGTTAGTAAGCATAAAGCAAATATGAAAATATCACATGAAATTACTGAAAAACTTTCAAACAAACACAAAGTAATAAATTTTAAATCACTGAAAAGCTTTCAAATAAATGCTAAATTATAAATTTTATCAATTTATAATTTTTATAGACTTTTTTCTAAATAATTTTAACTAAGCATATCGAATGATTTTTGATGTTTTGCTAAGTCATTATTACTGATCTCAGTGTAAACAAGTATGTTTGTCAACTGAAAAGTACTGCTCTTTTACAATGAATGAATCTTTTTACAATTTATATTTGCTGAATTGAAGAATTGCTTCAGTAAAAGTAATTCTATAATCAAAGAATCAGCAGTAAATCAATAAAACTTGTTGTTGAGTAATCAATATTGAATAAATAAAATTTGGCAGTAAGTAATCAAAAATTAGCAAATAAAATTGTTTTTATTATACATATTTTGCACTAAGTCTCATCTTATTGTAAAATTTATTTATAAATATTCGATAGATTAGCATGAAGTTTTGCAAACGATTCTTTATTAAAATAAGCTTAAGATATCTACTAATTGATGATGGTATTACCAAGAAAAAGAAGCTGAATTTAATAATTCCAAATTTAGTAAAAAACTTTGTAGCAGTTAAAAATATGATAAATAAGTTATAAATATCAATCACTTATTGTAAATTCAAATGTAATTAAAAGTAATTATCAATGAACTTTTTTTGTACAATGACAGAATTATTAAATTTCAATTTTAATTACAGTTGGAAGAAAATATTAATCTTTTTAGTACTGGGAAAATTGAGAATTAAAAATGCATTTGTATATTCTTTTTTTATCCAAAACGAGAAAGTTTGCATGGAATTGAAGTAATTGAAAGTAACATATTTATTTTGTATTTGTTTGATTGTAGTATTTTTTAAGTTTTGATTAATAATTTAGTAATATTTTTTGAATGAATCAATGAATTTGCCTCAATCCGAGTATATAAACATAAAATAATGCAATCAATTATTACTTTTATAAAGTAAGTAAATCATAAATAAATTCTGAACTCGTATGACACATAGAAGAGTATGCTCAGTAAATAAAAATCTATGATTTTATCCAACGATCTTCCATATTTACAAGATGTACAGATAGAATCTAAGTTGAATATCATATTTGTTTGGTACATATATCAGTTATTGCAACACATTGTTATCATATCAGTAATTATCATAATGCAATCAGCATATTCACTGAAGTCGGTACAAAGTTAATGAGGATAAAAGTGATTACTGTTGGAATCACAGTGCATGTTGATATAGTAAAAGCATATCAGAATTGTTAAGATTATTTATCATTTACATTTTATAAGCAAACAGATATAGAGGATAACAGTATTGCAATAACTGATATATGTACCTAACAAATATTCTAATAAGTGTAGAACCAATACAATTTTCATGTTTTGGTTTGTTATTTAAATGCAAATATAATCTTTTCAGAACAAACATGCAAAAGTGATAATCAAGACAGGAAATAATTTTAAAAAAGTAATAATTAAGAGAGAAAGTGATAATTTAAAAAAGGATATAATTAAGAAAAAATTAATGCTCAGAATCTAAAGACAGTAAACGCTCTTAGAATCTACTGCTCTTAGAATCTGACACTCGAACATTTGTTCTGCTATATTCATAAAATGCTTTAATTGTACTTAATTAAAGTGCGATTTTCTAATTCAATTAAAGCTATGTCAAAGCGAAAAAAATACTGTACTATTATCAAAATTCGTAAAAAGATATTAGCAATTTGGTGCAATGTTTTTGAGATTTGAGTTGTTTAAAGATTCTGTTTTAGACGGGCATAAAATAAAGAGCAAATAAAGAACATTAAGCAAAGTCAACATGATTTGAATCTTGCTTTTTCAATGTATGACATCATTTTACGTCGAATATCCTAAGACGTCTGTGAAATATTTTGACGAAATTAGCTATTATTCTTCATGTAAAAAAGTTTTTACGTCACATTGCAAAAAAAGTTGTTTGCATTCATAACTACGTTGTATTTACGTGGCTATTCATTCCCTTGTTCGAAATATTTTTCACTGCATTAAAACCATAATCGTTATGTTTTACTCAAAGTAAATCCCTGCCCAAAGTAATCGCAGTTTCTGTTTTTTTCTTAATTTTGCTAGTATTTGTCAATTATTTTGATCCATTCCAAACATTAAAAGTATATTTTCTCAAAAATAAAATTCATTCCTGTTCAGCTCAAAATTTGTTTCATTTGTTTAGTATGATTTCTCGCAACATCTAAGGCAGTTACTGATTCTGTTCTCCGTTCCACTGAATCGCTGTTTATATATATATAAAGAAGGAAGAATCTGGTAAAAAGACGATCAGTGCTTGAGGTTAAAATAAGTTTTATGTATTTCTCACTGTCAAAAAAGATCATTTCTATAATATATAATCATCATAACCAATCATCTTTAATAAATAATTATGATTATGAATTACATTGCCTTTAAAGATAAACTGTATTTTTTTTCGTTATTGAAAAACGCAGCTACAAAATAATGATCTTGTCTAAAGGCCATATTCAACAAAGTTTTCAAGCTAACTTCAGTCATTAATCTCATTAAAATTTGATCAAGTTGAATTTGTTTTATCAGAACTGTTAATGGCAGCTACAAATAAGTTAAAACATACAGTAAAAAAGTCTTCAAGTATCGGTTTATTAATTGTTACACTTATACATATGCATAGTATATTCGCTTTTTACATTGTAAATATTCATTGGAATATTTAAAATTTGTTTAAAAATTAAAAATCTAAAAAATACACGAGTATTTTGTAAAGCCTCAGAAGGTCTCAACATTATTTTTACTTCCATCAATGTTTATTCTTCATGGAATAAAGCAATAATAGACTTTTTAATAACCAAAAAGTCCTAAATTTCCTATAGTTATCACAAAAAACGTCATTCCAAATGTTTTCTTTGCAATAACGTTGATGATGTAAGCATTAATTTAATTAGAGAGGACAATATTTTAAAGTCCTTGATTAGATGATATTTAAAAATTATTCCGACAAAAAACAGCTATGTTTTCAATATGCATAACTGATGCTAAACTTTTGCATATGCATAATTTAAACTTTAGAAAATTGAGTAAAAATGTATTTTCATTTATTGACTTACTTACTTTACATATTAATTAATTTGCTTGTCTTTGTGCATATTAATATGAAGCAAAACATGTACTAAATTGGAACATAGTGTATAGTAATATAATAATACAGGAAAATAAATTAAAAAACTAGCAATACATTCTATATTGCAAGTATATTCAGAAATAAGCTTTGCAATATGCTAATATTGCAGAGCTTACTTCTGAATACTTTTTGCTTTGCATCTTTTTATGAGATAATTAAATAAAGCAAATCTGATTATAATGTACCAATGGCTTCTGTACATTTATGATCATGAAAATGAGTATTGAAGGAGAGGGCTTGAAATGCAATTTTTCCTTTTAAAAAAATCATATCTTCTGAGAATTCAATTAAAAGACAAAAGTATGAAGGCAGTTATTATTATTTAATACAACGACTAGATATCTTTCAATCTTTGCGCGAATATCGATGGATTGCGCAAGTACCATATTACAGTACTAATGTGTATTATCTGTTTTATACAGTATTGTCATGTAAATTCGCCACTGCAATACAGTTACATTCATAACTTAACTATTGTTGAAGCTGCAAGACTACAAGTATTGAATATCCTATCTTCGAAAACTAAATATCCTGTTTCTTAATATTTTGTTGTTAAAAAAAGAACCTTTATAATAATCTCAAAATTTATTGATATTTTTATTTGATCATCGAAGAAAACATCAGTAAATCAATAAATTTCTGTATTTTTCACCATTACATTACATCGACAACCTGTGAAGACACAATACTGATCTCCAATTTATTTAAATTTAATAATCTGCATTACACTTTCTAAACATTGAAGGCAGTTCATACAGAGTTATTTTAATAATAATATTCTCAATGCTGACAATTGTATTTTGGTAACAGTTTATGGAAAATACTCACTTAACGAAACAATTTAACAAATTTAGAACAAATATCAAATTTTTTACTCAAACAAATTATAAAGTATGAACAGAATGTTTTAATATATAACTGAGAAGTAGACAGTTAATGAGAATATATATATTTTAAATAACTAATTTACTTCATTTTCTTATGTTTTAATTGAATTACAAATATAACAGAAAAATTAATTGCATACAGATCACAACAGAAATGCTATTTTTATTTTTTGCAAAAAGTAATTAAGTTTTTTAAATATAAAATGTACTGTTGGCATTACTGTTTAAAATTCACCAAATTCTATACGCATAAAAATAAGAATCAATTTTATTACAATAGAATTTAGACAATAATAAAAATAATTATTATATGACAAAGCAAATCAGAAATACATAGCATATCAGTGGGATCTATTATTATCTCGCCTTCTAGCATTTCCATATTTAATCAACAACAATACTTTGAATTTTGGGCTTTCCTGAATCAATTTAACACACATTACTTATTAAACTAATTAAAGCAAATTAATTTGTACAAAAAAAGCAATGGATCAAAACTTTCAGATTCTTTTCTTTTGAATACAATCAAACCAGATGGAACCTTCAGCCACCTGATTTGTTCATATTATATACATATTTAAATGCTACACTGCTATAAGAATTATTACGTAGCCAAAAGTAAAATTAATTTTTAATTATAACTGCGAGAATTCCAACAAGTCAAGTTTAGATATTTATCGATAGAATTAATGCAGTAATACACAAGCGTTTTTTCTTCAAAAATGTTAGTTAAGCACAAACTTCAGCATTAATCTGATTTCAATCCAATTATGAAGGTAATATGCGCGAAAGCAATCAGTAATTTAATCAGAATAATATGTGTTCAAGCAACAAATTATTCGTCCTCTAATCTAACGATAGAGACTACTTCTAGTTCTAATTTCTATTTGCTTTCGGAATCAATCACAAAAACATAACAATTGATTCTCAGGACTTTTTGCTTTTTTTGTGCTTTGAATGTATGAAAAAACCCACTGACTTAGGAACAGTGCTCCAAAAAGTCCGGTTTACGCCAGAAAAAATCAAATTCAAAGCACTAATCCCAAAAATTTTTACTATAAAAATATCTCTTCTTTTACTTAAGTTACTCTTTTTTAATAATATAAATGCATTTTTTATTATATATACTCTGGACTAAAATTAAGCTTTAAATTATTGCAAAAAATTAAGCTAACATTTACATAGAGTCAACCAATTAAACATATTATTAATTAAAAAAAGTTAAAAGACGCGCAAGAAAAAAGAAATTACACCAGCAAGTGCAATCATTACTACCATAAAGAACATTTTAAATGCATTTAAATGGAAATTCACAAGAACTTAAAAAGTAACATTCCTTCACTTACGTAAAAAAGTCATTCCAGCGTCAATACACAAGTTGAAGCGGCAGGCTTGACAACTGCTCCTTTTATCAAGATCAATTTTACAACTTCCGCCATTCTGGCAATAATATTTCACGCGAGATTTGGCCACTCTTCGGAAAAAGCACTAAAAAAGTTAATATTAACGATCAAATAACCTTTTGATTAATTATTAAAAAAGAATCGAATATTAATAAGTAATAAATTTTCATTCACCTTACATGCCTCACAGCTTTCTACTCCATAATGACGACCAGTTGCTTTACGTTTACAAATTTTGCATAGTTTTTTTACCAATTGAACCTGCGAATTGTTTGCTTCAGTTACTAAAAATAAGAAGTAGAATTTTTTGAATTGATATTCCTGAAATCAAATTCTGTAACTGAACTAAAATACTTTTTACAGAAAGTATACATATAAACTTGTTGTATATACAATAGCACTAACATCACGTATGTAAAAATTTGTTTTCATATCCATTCTAATACAACATTTCAAATAAATAACTGTTGAGAATTTTTAAGATATATTTTAAAGAGTTATTTCTTTATATTTTAAAAGTTAACTAATTTCTTATATTTTAGATTTTTAAAATACATTTAAAAAGTTAACAACTTTCTTATATTTTAATCTCTGAGCTTATTTTACTACGATTAATTTTGTGCTTAATAAGTTTTATCATTCAACTACTTTGAAGCAGATGAAAATGGGCATCAAAATTTATTTCTCTTTATATTTAGTTCAAAATATTATAACAACTAGCTTCTAATGAACTTGAAAATAAAAATAAATTTGTACTTTTCTTACTGAATATTCTAGGTGGCAATTCTAGAATTGTACACTTCGTATCAGTAAACGTAATTGGGGATGCACTTTCATGTTTAATAGAATGCAATACAAAAAATGAAGCCAAAATTTTGCAAGTAAAAATGAAAAATTCATCAGTAATAGAGAGCACATAAACTCACGCGCTTGTCTGTATTTTCCACTTGTTCTGCGAGCTTGAGTTTCTATATGATGTTCTCGACGTGACTGGAATTGAAATTCAGCCACATCGAGTGGATTAACAGGATCGATGACATTAAGCTCAACGTTAGAAGTATTTGCGATACCTATAAGTTCATTGAGGGACAGACTAACGCTAGTCCTCAGATGGCTATTCCTGACAGCATGGTTTGAATGCTCATTTAAATATTCATGAAAATCGTTGATTTGTGAAGAATATGGTAGGCCAAAACAAATCTCACTTAACAGTTTGCTATCAACAGGTTCAGACAATGCATTACTGATCGCAATAATTTCTGTAGAATTTGAATGATCATAGAAAAATTTGTGGATCAAATTATAGTCTATATTATCAAATTCTTCATCGCCATTTGTTGACGAGTATGAAGTTTTCAAATGTTGAATCACGTCAGTACACTTTTGACCATTGGGTTCATTTGAAGTCATGTTCATCTTTTCAGACTTTGATGCTACAGAAACAGGATAAACTGAATCTGAGTTAGCAGTGTTGCTTGATAAATGCTCAATGCGATGTGATAATATCTTGCATGTGAGTCTTTTCGAACGTCGCTGAGGAAGCTGCATAGCTAATGACTGGATATTGTCCTTAGATGATATGATCAGTTCTGTTTCGCTCATAACTATATTCTCCTTATAGCGTAATATAATGTACCTATTGAAAAGATATACAAAAATCATACAGTTAACATTTTTATAAAAATGTTATATTTGATAATAATAACAATAATTAGTCATTAACTAAAACTGTAATTAAGAAGATATAAACTGGTAGTTAGAAACAATTTAGAATCAAGTAATTTTATGCGAATAATTTACTTGCTGATAGTCTTATTGAATGAGGCAGATTTCGTTGAAATATTTCTGCGAATAATATTTTCAAATTACAAATATAATATATTTTGAAAATTTGAATAATAATTATACAAATTTTAAACAAAATAAAAGTATCGTCGCAAATTTAATGCGATTATTAATATTCAACGTAAGAAAGTGAAACAAATGTGCAAAATAGAAATATTACATTTAAATAAGGTAATTAAGAAGGTCTATATTATTGAAAAAATACCCTACTGTTGTACTGTACAATAATAACAGTACTAATAATAACAATACTAATATCAGTAATAATAACAAGAGTAATAATAATAATAATAATAATAATAATAACAAGAGGAATAATAATAATAATAATAACAATAATCTGAAATTCAGAATGATCAAAATTATTTTGTACGATAGCACGTGATCTCTTCTCCTCTGCGCTTATACGCTACATTCTACCAGCACTTCTCAAAAACATTACGGCACATAGCGCATAAACAAAAAAAAAGAATAAAAAAGAAAAAAAACATAATGCACTACAAGTAGCAGACAAAAAAAGGAAACAAAAAACGACTGCTTGAAGGTGGGAATGAGAGATGTCAGAGCGGGCATTACAGTGTATTTTTTACTTTACTGTGTTTGACTGACTGTTATTCTATTCCTTTGTCTTTACTCTTCTGCTCTGAGTAAAGTTAACGTATGAAAAACTGACTACTGCATGAATATCTTGAGTTAAAATTGTATTTGTTTCAAATATATGCAAATTATTAATACATTAATAAGAATAGAACAACAAAAGAAAATAAACTGGATAATACTTTTAAGTATAATTGACGCGTGAGAAGCGTACTAAAATTTTGAAAATGTCACTGATTTAAGCGTAAATGGTCATTTCAACGTGTTCTTCCATCTTTAAATTGCAGATAATACTTGTTGATTGCTTGAAAAATTGTAATGCATTGAATTGAGTGAGAATTAATTAAAGAGGAATGCTTAAAAAGGAAAAAATTTATTAGTAATTATTTAATTGTTAGCATGATTTATTAAAATTAGTGTTATTTTGGACACTTTTATAATTTTGTTATTAATCTAATAATCACTTCTATTCTCTTACTTATATCATCATAATATTTGTAGATGTCAGATTTATCTGCTCTATTTTTCATTTATAACAATTGTAAAGCCATCATGAACTGAATAACCAAAAAAATTGTTGTTTCCACAAATATTGTTCACATTATTTGCATTCACTCTTTTTTTTGATGAATTATTATTATTATTATTATTATTATTATTATTATTATTATTATTATTATTTAATTATTATTATTATTATTATTATTATTATTATTATTATTATCATTATTGATATTAATATTGTTGTTAATATTGTTGCTAATAATATTTTCCCAAGAGTCAAGAGTGGTTAATCCCATATCCCATAAAAGAGTAGGATGAAAAATAGTACTGGAATGTGGAAAAATTTAATAAAATTTGTTTTTTAATTAATCTAAAAAAATAATCCCACTTCAAAACACATCATAATGAGAAAAGCATGTTTTTTTTGCCATTTATGAAATTTTGAAACTGTAACATTTATAAATTTTATAATTTCAGACTTCGATATTTTTAAAAAATTAAAATTTTGTAGCAGTCTTTTAAAATTAATTTTTTTCCAATATTTCAATCAGTTTCACAATTTTACTATTGTAATTCATATTCTTATTTATTGTTGTTTTTTATATAATATAGTGATTTGAATTTGATTACTCAAATTCTGCAAATAAAGCAGTTAATTATAAATAGTTTTATTGAGCAATTATGTTACTGTTTACATTGAAGAATAGATATACAGTTAGCTAAGACGTAAGGATTAGCTCAGTCTTTCAGAGTAAATGGTATTAAGTATGACTTTCAAATTGCTGTAGAAGTAAGCATAAATATTTTAGCAAATTTTGCATTTTGTTTTTTTAAATTCGCATTATTTCGAGCAATGATAGTAATAATATGAAATCCTAAGCTCTATAAAAGCAAACAAGATTATTTTTTAGCTTGTTGTAAATAAAATGGCTTTTTTAATCCTTACCATTTCAATCATTTATTTATATATTTGCGTTTATCTTCATTTTTCTTAATGATAATAATCATTTTTTCGATATTTTGATATTATTTTTTAAAATTATTTCCTTATTGTAATCTTTTTTCGTTATGGAATTTACTTACTTATTCAGACTTATATTTACGTGTAAAGTTTTTGTAATAATGAAAATAATAAATAGCATATTTGTGTGTAAAATTTTATAACTATAATATTTATTTTCAATAAAAATACTTAAATACTTGAACACAATAAATTTTTGTTTTCAATTAAAAAGACGATATTTATACAAATTCTGATTAGCTATATGATGTAATTAAAATTATGATATTTATATATTTATATTTTAATAAAAATAAATAAAAAGTATTTATTTTTTCTTTGTTTTTCAATCTGATAATTGAAAATCAAAAGAAAAAAGGAATAGAATTGAGTTATGTTTGCTTTTACTCATTCATTCAATCTCATAGCATTACATCACTGAAAAAACAGAAAGGACATACATTTTCGCATACAACCAATCGTTTCCATTTGTTTTTAATGTTTTCAAATACTTTCACTTTTATACGTTTTGTTTTGACGTTTATCTGAAATTCGTTATTCTTTTATTCCGATAATCATTTTAAGTATTTCAGTTCTTTTATCAGTAAATAATATTCATTCTTTTTTTTGCATTTCTCCTTAACTATCAGTATTTACATTGTTGTAATCAAAAAAACTTCACGTATATTAAGTATTAATGATATTTTATGAAAGCAGTACTTTATTAATATATATTATTTATTAGATGATAATTATTTCTGATCAGCTATATGATGTATTATTTTATTAGATGATAATTATTTTCAAAGTTATTTTCTACGATGTATTTATTCCTTAAATAAATATATTGTAGAAAATATTGTACTTGATTCTGTAATGAATCATACTTATTTAATTATTATTTATTTTCGATTTCTTCAATTGTTATTTCAGATATTTACAACTTTCAATATATTACATAGATGATAAATTATCTGCTAAAGTAATAATTTTTAATTCATCATCTGTGTAATAATTTTTTAGTTTCAAGTATTTGTAAATTTATTGTGTTTTTCGATCACAATAATTTAATACTAAAAATATTAATCACTGAAATAGAACCAAAATTAAAACTTTTCCAAAAGTTTAAATTGTTTTAAAAAAAATTTGATATTGAATAACACAATAAAAACACGAACTTGTATTTGACACAATATAATTTCATTTAAAAAATTTTATTCTTTCAGTTTCTATTTTTCAAATTTAAAATTACCACGGTATTAATTTACAATTTTACTGATATTATGAAGTTTTTATGATTAGATAACTC